GGTGACCCCCAACCATAAAATTATTTTCATTGCTACTCTATAACTGTAATTTTGCTACTGTTATGAATCGTAATGTAAATATCTTTTTGTTTTCCAATGGTCTTAGGCGACCCCTGTGAAAGGGTCGTTCGACCCCCAAAGGGGTCGCGACCCACAGGCTGAGAATCGCTGTCTAGCTCCTCTACCCAAGGTCAGGGTACACCTGGAGGGGAATTGGGGGCAACTGGGCCCAAATTAGGAAACACCGGCTCTCTCAACTAACTAGTCGGATTTGGGACAGATGGGCTAGGCTCCCTTGGCAATGAGAGGCTGACGGATGGATGCAGATGGACGCTGATGGACAGCCCAGACCTCACCTCCACCCGGCCACTTGAAGGCTGGCTGCCCTGTGATCTCCCTCGCCTTCCTCCCCCATCCTGGGCCTCTCAGCACTCTGCTTTCTCCCTAAAGGGCCCTTTCTTCTCCTCCCATTCCCTCTCCTGCCTCACACCTGGTGGCTTCCTGCAGGCTGCCTAGAGCGCCAGGAAGAGCCTTCATCACTGCTCCCCACTCCCAAGCCACCTATTCTCCTGCGGTCCTGACTTTACCCCACTTTTCTCTCTTTCCACATAATGGTGTGACTTATGTCACAGAAATGCCCTGGTGTTGAGAACAGGAAAATCTATAGAAACAGAAAGTAAAAGGAGTGGTTGCCATGGGCTGGGAGGGGTGAAGAATGAGGGGTGACTGCAAAAGGGGTATTTTGTTGTTTTTCTGGTATTAGATAGTGGTGATGGTCCAGCGACTCTGCGAATACAGTAAACACCACGGAATGGTCCACTTGCAATGGGTGCAATGCACAACATGTGAATTTTCCCGAATATTATCTTGAGAATAATCTCAATAAAACTATTAACCACTACAACAAAGACATGCTTTGGTTTTGGAAGACCATCCCAACATAACCACACCGGCAGGAATGAAATCATCTAGAAGGCATTTCTTCTTTCCCTGGGTGGTGTGGCCCATCCGGAACGGGGTGGAGGATGGGGTGAGGTAGGGAGAAGGGGCAGCTGCAGAGACCTCACAGCTGATTGCTTTTCACTTTTAACTTTTCGTTGCCCACATCCTTAGCTGTAGATCACTCCTGGTATTTATCACACCTTGTACCCCTTTTTCATCTCTCCTGCTCCACTAGGGGGCCGTGGTGGGGGGCTCCTCGTTCACTCCCCTGGGCAGAGTCAGGAGGCTGGCTGCGTGGTGCTTCGTGCCGAAGGTGGGGCTAGGGGCAGGGCTTGATGGAAGGCACTTAGTGCCGGGGGCAGGGCTTTCTGGGTGGGGCTTAGGCCGGGGGCGGAGCTTACGGACCCCGCCCTACCCGAGCCGCTAAGACAAACCCCAGATAGGGCGCCCAGCGGTCCTGTGACCGTGACCGTGGCCGTGGCCGTGGCGGCCCCCGGGGTGAGTGAGGCTGGACCGGGACACGGCTGCGCGTGGCTGCGGGCGTGGGGACGCGGCGTGGCGGGCTGGAGCCAGACTCCCCGTTCCGGGCCATTGCTCCTGCCTGCCCCCGGGCGGACGGGCGCCAAGACGTGGCGTTATCCAGACTTGGCCGAGATCCCAGGCGAGCGAGTCCCCTGCCCACCCGGCCCTTCATGGTTTGTTCCACTGGCAGCCTTAACGGGGTAAGGAGGTCTCAAGAACCAGGACTCAGAGCGGAGTGGGACTTGCGCGCTCTTGGACCGGGTTCAGGACCCATGTGTTGGGTCGGAAGAGGGTCAGGGAGACGAGGCCATAAATGAAAACCCGGAGTTCTGAGGACCGCAGCGGCTGAGTGTGAGGAGGGCCACAAATTCTCCGTCAAGGCTGAACTGGGGAGAGGGGAAGCCTCTTCCGCTCTTACAGCAGCTCCCCCGTTAAGGGTTAACTGCTTCCAGCAGGGGACCCTCTCCTCATCACGTGAGAAGTGAGCGCAGCTGGGGTTGACAAAAGCCACCTCCTGCTTCCTGGTCACCAGTTGTGACAATGGGGGCTATCAGGGGTGGTCTCCAGCCTGGAGCTGAGCCAAGCTCAGGGACTGACCACACCCCAGGGCCTGCAGGGCAGACTGCAGTGCACAGGTGATGGACACCGCAATAGCTCTGTTCTGGGAGGCACCCCGTGGAAGGCATCTCTGTTGGGTGTAGACAGGTGGCTCACCTGCAGAGCAGGGTGGGCACAGGGCTGTGAGAGGGAAAACACCAATTGCTTCCTTTAAGTGAGCTCCTCTGCAGGCTGAGTACCCGCTCACTCTTATTTCTCTGCTTGAGGATCCTCCCAGGTGCTCAACGTTGGCCCACTTAATAGAAGAGACCGAAGGTCAGGGAGGCCAAATCATTTGCATTTTTTTTTTGGCCAGAAAAATCAACTTTTATTTCTTAAATACTGTAAAGGAAAGGGGGACGGACCCCTAATGGGGGAGGGCCGTTGAGCAGAGGCCTAGGGGTCATTAGGAAAGATACTGGGGAAGTATCACCAGCTGAACTAGGGGTCCTCCTGCAGTTGCTTTTGCATATCAGACTCCCCTCACACCTCTCCTGAATCTCTGGTGACTCCAGGTCCTTCTGAGAGAAGCATCTGGGGGCCCTTCTCTCCCCACCCCATCATCATACATCTCATGGGGAGACAGGTGTTCTGTTTGCCAGGCCTGGCCTCCTGTTGTGCCCAGCTACCTCTTGCTCTGGTCCAGATGCACAGTGGTTGCCAAGCAACTGGGGGGGGGGGGGGGGGGGGGGTTTCCAGGATGACTTGCCAGCTGTGGCCTGACTTTCAGGGACTTGGTTTAGAGACTGTCCCTATGTGACCCCTTTTGCTGCGTTCCCAATGTGATTGGCCCTGCTCCCTCCTGCAAGGCCGGCCTTGAGGAGCTTCCCTTCCCAGACTGACCAGCCACCTCTGTTCCAGGCGGCAGCTGCAGTAACGGCCAGGGCGGGGTACTCAGGCTACTGGCACTGGTCATGGCCTTGGCCTCAGTCCTTGTGTTTCTCCTGCTCTTACTGGGTGTGTGGCGGCCAGGCCAGCTGGACTGCCCCCAGTTGGGAAGGTGACTGCCTGATACCAGCCCTGCCAGGTTGGGGCAAGGGTGGCATGAGGAGGGAGGATGGTAGGCCCTGAGGAGACAGGTCCCGAGAACTTCTTTAAAACTCCTAAACTCCATTCACCCCTTCCACACAGGTTTTCTGGGTGCCTCTTACATACCAGCCCTGGGGTGACTGCAGTGAGGAAGCAGATGTGTCCCAGCCATGAAAGATGACAAGGATATCACTGATCCTTACTAGATGCCCGTGTGGGGGCCACTTGTTATTCATTCAGCACTTAGCAAGTACTTTCTGTATGCCAGGCACTGGACTGGGTGCCAGGACAAGCAGTGAAAGAGACAGATGGTCCGAGTGCAGAGCAGACAAGACAAACAGCCAAAAAATGAAGCAAGATGCTGTGAGGTTAGGATCACTGCTACAAATACTGAGTGACAGGGAGACGGTGGGGACGGGCTGCGCTCCTTTAAAGAGAGTGACTTAAAGTAACAGTAATCCTAGAGGATTAATATTTAGCCCCATTTTACAGGGAAAAAACAATCAACTGAGGCCCAGAGAAGTTAAGTTGCCTAAACAAGTAAGATCCAGATTCCAAGCTTAGGTCTGACTCCTTTATTCCACATATAATATTAAACATGCCTTTAAATGTTTAATTATGTATTTTAATTAACTCTATCAAAATATTGTCATTTCAACATGTAATCAAATAAAAATGATTAATGAGATACTTTCATTTTTTGCATTGTAAGTATTCAAAACGTGGTTTACTGTACACCTGCAGTGCATTTCAGGGGCCAGCCACACATGGCTGGTTTCTACCTTTTTGAACAGTGCAGTTCTAGCCATAGATAATGATCAACTCATAATTTTTTTGTTCTTTATTTTTTTTATTTCTTATTAAGGCTGTTTTTTTGGAGCAGTTTAATTTTCCCAGCAAAATTATGGGGAAGGTACAGAGAATCCCCATGTACCCCATGCCCCACACTGGCACAGCCTCCCCCACTATCAACATCCCCACCAAATAGGACATTTGTTACATTGATGAATGCACAATGACATATCATCATCACCCAGAGTCTACAGTTTACATTAGGGTTCACTCCTGGTGTTGGACATTCTGTGGGTTTGGACAAATGTATAATGACATGTATCCATCATTATCGTAACATAGAGTATTTCACTGCCATAAAAACTCTCTGTGCTCCAAGCATGTCTTTTTTATTCTGAGATTTTGACAGCTGGGGCCTTGGAGATCTCAGAAGGCCTGCCCCTCCCAGGGCTAGCCAATTCGTAGAGAGAGTAAATGAATTGGCTTGTTGTGCACCTTTCATATACAAACCAGCCAATCCAGAACCATACCCCCAACCACTCCTGTTATCTGACTCTTACTCCAGGAGGCATTATTTCTGATCACCCCAGGGTCAGGTGCCAGACAACCAGGGCCAGCCCCTAAGCCCC